ACCAATGTTTCACTCAGCAACACACATTTTGGGCTCCGTTGTGGTCATATGTCGAGGAGTAGCTGCACACTACAATCCTTCCTTTTGCCAGTAGCTGGCAAATATGTCTTGTACTGCGTAGCTTGGAAATCAAAGTCAACGCTTTCTGTGGGTGTGTGAAAGCGATTGTGTTTGCAACAGTGGCGAGACCGCATGCAGGTTAGTATCACACATCTGTCCTCTTCGTGTCAGTCATCCAACAGATTAACGAGCCTTCTTGAAAGAGGAGGTGTACGTGCCCATCCCTTGTGGCACGTTTTAAGCTATCCAAATCTTCACTTGTACAAAAATTGCAGCCCATGAAGACGTTAAGAAAGCAAAATCTGGCAAACCTCGAAATTTCACTCCATCCTTTTTTTTTTTTAATCGTGCTCATCTCTGTGTTATCATCATGTATAAAAGAGAATATTGCTAGTGGGGTTTTTTTTGCTTTGCAAATCTGTGCGGTACACCCCTGTGAATGGATGAACAAGAAAAACCAGTCAAAAACATTTGGAGAGTGGAACAGACTCCACTTTTGTTATTTTCTTTTTTATTAGCTACAGCCAAGAGTTGCTACATCAGGGGAGTCAAACTCAAGGCCCGGGGGCCGAATCCGGCTCGGGGGTGGTGGTGCTTAGATCTGGTCGATGGGGCTGTCCTAGAAACAGCAAAGGACCAGCCCGCGGTGCCTCTGCCAGAGAAAATGGAGCTCGGGAGGGCTGCATGCAGCTCTCCCAGGCTCCGTTTTCAGGTGCGACGGCCTCCTGCCGCCCTCTGCCAGTGAAAATGGAGCTCGGGGGGACTGCATACGTGTCCCCCAAGCTCTGTTTTCACTGGCAGAGGGCAGCAGGAGGCCATCACAGCTGAAAATGGAGCTCTGGAGCCCATTTTTGCTGGTGGAGCGCTTGGGCCACCACAGACACCCCTGACACGAGTGACGTCAAGCTGGCCACACCTACTCTGGCCCACAAGGTCAGACACAACCCTGATGTGGCCCTCAATGAAATCAAGTTTGACACTCCTGTCCTACAGAAACTCTTATTGAAGTTCCTTGTTCCACCCAACCTTTGGGTTAGCCTTTCCCAGAACAATCCTTAAAAATAACAATAGAATCTCTGCCTCATCTCCAAAAGGTTTGTCACGTTGGCTGCTGCCTATTGTCAGGTGGATGCATTCATGCTTGGTCCTTTGTTTGTGCCCAACGGGTCACACGCTGTGGGTGGACAAGACCTGGATGGTTCCATGAACAAATAGCACATCTTGCAACATCCAAGTGACATGTAAAAGGCAGCTTTATGCATGGATGGGCTGCTGGGGGTTCGCAGGGATTTGGGAGAACTCTAGCTAAGATTCTGTGCAGTTCGGAGAACCCCCAAATCCCACTCCTGGCTGGCCTCGCCCACCCCACCCCTCCCAGCACGGAGGCTCAGGGAGGGCGAAAAACAGGCCTACTATTCTTGCATGGTATGGGAGCAGCTCAGTAGCAGACAGAAAAGCTCTACAAAGAACCATTAAAACTGCCCAGAATATCATAAGACTCCAGCTACCAGCCCTGGACGACATCTTCGAATCTTGCTGTTTGAGGAAGTTGCATAACATTCTCAGAGACTCTTCCCATCCTGCTTACAATCTTTTTGGACTGTTGCCTTCTGGCGGAAGATACAGAACAATTAAAACTCGGACCACACGTTTTCCGAATAGTTTTTATCCCAGAGCTATCATTGCACTCAACCATGAACTAAAGGGACACCATCAGTGAGCTGTTGGACAGCATTACTTGGTCTGTTGTGTGGATGTTTGGGTGGTTTAGAGGTGGGGAATTGTGGTGGGTGGGTGGGGGGTGTTTGGGGATTGTTATGTGTGTTGGACCTGGTCTTTGGGTGTTAAGTGAATTTCGTCGTATGGGTATACTGTGTATACACGTAGAATGCAGTGGTGGGTTTCAAAATTTTTTACTACCGGTTCTGTGGGTGTGGCTTGGTGGGCGTGGCTTGGTGGGCGTGGCAGGGGAAGGATACTGTAAAATCTCCATTCCCACCCCACTCCAGGGGAAGGTTACTGCAAAATCCCCATTTCCTCCTGATCAGCTGGGATTCGGGAGGCAGAGAATAGATGAGGGCAGGGCCAGTCAGAGGTGGTATTTACCGGTTCTCCGAACTACTCAAAATTTCCATTACCAGTTCTCCAGAACTGGTCAGAACCTGCTGAAACCTATCACTGGTACAATGACAATAAAGTTATTTCCAGCCTCCAGAGGGCCTCTGGAGTCTGGGGGGGGTGTTTTCACCCTCCTGGAGGCTCGAGAAAAAACTCAGGAGCCCGGGGAGGGCAAAAACATCCGTCCCTCCTGATGTGGTGCATGGCCACGCCCACCCAGCAACCAGGCAGAGAACCCCTTGCTAAAATTTTTGAAGCCCACCCCTTGCTTTATGTATTTTCAGATCATGGGTGTTCTAAGAAGAAATGAAAACTCTGGCCCTGCTGCACAATTATCACATTTTATATAACGTAGACTGGTTTGGTCAGCAGTGATGGATAAGATTTTTTTGGAAAGTCCTCATAGTATATCTCAAAAGGTGCTTTTTCAAAAGGCAACTGGACTGTTTCTTCCTTGAGGAAGAAAAACAGAACATTTCAACATCTGTGGAGATTCTCAGTCATCCAAGTCATGCAGTAGTGGCCAAAACTGTGGAAACCTTTTGGGAAAACTGTATTTCCTAAAACTAGCTAATAACACCACTTTTTTTTTTTGGGGAGTAGTACCATAAAATTATATATCAATGGAAAGACAATTTAATCAAGAATGCAATGCAATCACTTTTAGGAAGGATTTGCTATTAGAATAGCAGCTACAGTATAAAGAAGAAAAGTGAAACACGTAGAAAAAACACATATACAAAAATGATCCCCATGTCAGTTAATCCTTAGTTGGGTAACCTTTAGCATGAATGACGGCCTTACAAAGTCTTCCCATGGAGTGAACCAAGTCTTTTAATTCTGCAGCTGTTATCATGTGAAACCAAGATTGAATGATGGCTTCTATTAACTGGGTTTTATTGCTGGGTTGCTTCTGACTAACAAGTTTCTTTAGTCGGCTCCATAGATTTTCAATTATCTTGAAACTCCCCAAAAAAGTGGTGTTATTAGCCATCAAACCTCAAAAAAACCTCCCAAAAGGTTTCCACAATTTTGGCCACTACTCTAGTTGTCTCAAAAGTACAGTCCAGTTGCCTTTTGAGACAACAAAACATTTTGTTTTGTTTTTTTCTTTTCTTTTTTTTCTTGGATAGAAAAGAAATGTTTTCTTTTTCTTCCTTAAATAAAAAACAGTCCAGTTGCCTTTTGCAAAAGCAAACTGAGAATCTCCACAGACCTCTAATATATCTTCCCATAAATCTCAGGGGGGAAAAAATGACCCCTTGATTTTTAAGGTAGCGTGCCACTAACAGTTGTACATTTCAGCACATCATCTCTGTCATAATGGCTGGAAATTTGAATTTTAAAAAAGCTGAAATTCTCAGGAGCTGAAAGCGCCAAAGAAATACTGTACCAGAGCCTGTGTTTTTTTTTCTGTGCAAAATACACTCTCGTTTTTCCTTCAACCAGTGGTTACTTGTTTAGCTAAATGGAGATTTATTAATTCTTTATATGCAACCTAGACCTTGGAAAAGTGGCAGCATCTTATTCCACTTCAGTGTGCAGATTCTAAATTAGGTAGTTGTGCTTTCTCGCAGTGCACACAAACACATGCTAGGCATGCAATGTTTGTTGTGCAATTGAAATGTTGTGCATTAACATACTGATCTTGGTTCTTTATAAACCAGAGAGTTTTGGGACACACCAAGAAGTTCTCACAAAATGGTTAGCACAACGAGAGTTCTCCCAAAATGCACGTGGACTTTAAGCGCGTTGACTCATTTCAGTAAATTCCACATTCACAATGCCCTATCACAGTGATGGCTAACCTTTTTGCCATCGTGTGCCAGGAGTAGGGGGGTTGCGCCTGTGTGTGCCAACACCCATAATCCTATGCATCCTGCCCCCATGCATGTGTGCACGACCCCCCACGCTCCCCCATGACACGTGATGGCACGGTAGGCCCGTTTTTTGCTGTCCCCAGTTGGCAAATGGGCTGTTTTTGACCTCCGGAGGGCCTCCGGGAGGGGGGGGGAAAGGCCATTTTCGCCCTCCCCAGACACCTAGAAAGGCTCTGGAGAGAAAAACGGGCCTTCCCCACCACCTCCCGAGGTCCTCCAGAGGCAGGAAACAGCCTGTTTCCCTACTTCTGGTGGGCCCAGAAGGCCTGAAAATCAGCTGGCCGGCATGTGCATGCGCACCAGAGCTGAGCTCGCATGCCCAGTGATATGGCTACATGTGTCACCTGTGGTATGCGTGCCATAGGTTCGCCATCACAGCCCTATCATCACCCATCATTAAGCCCGGTTAACCTGACTGTAACCTGACGTCTTTATACCACCCATATGAAATACAGCTAGTCCTCGACGTACGACAGTCCGCTTAGTGACCGTTCAAAGTTACAACGGCACCGAAAAAGTGACTTATGACTGTTTTTCACACTTACGACCGTTGTGGCATCCCCGTGGTCACGTGATCAAAATTCAGACGCTTACCAAACGACTCACATTTATGACGGTTCCAGTGTCCTGAGGGTCACATGATCCCTTTTTTGCGGCCTTCTGGCAAGCAATGTCAGTGGGGAAGCCAGATTCATTTAACAACCGTGTTTAATAACGGCAGTGGCTCACTGAACAACTGTGGCAAGAAAGGCCATCAAACGTGGCAAATTCACTGAAATGTCTCCCTTAGCAACATAAATTTGGGGCTCAATTGTGGTCGCACGTCGAGGACTACCTGTACAATCAATCACCTGTGCAAGAGGAAAACCGACCGGATGACACCGAGGACACTTCAGACCCTCTTTGACTTATTTTCTCTCACCCAACACAAATTCAGAAATCTTTATCCATTTTGGCCAGATTTATTTAAGCAGAATATTTCAATCAATCTATGTTTTCCATCCTTTGCTGGGGGAGGCCTTAAAAGACTCTCTCTGTACACCGTAGGCATAACCATCCTCTCTTATTGGAAGGAAATTATATAAATTAGTAAGGGGTCAGAAAATGGTCCTCGGATGCTTGCATTTCAGATGCACCTTTTTGCCCAACAGGCTTTTGGGGAGAAGTTATGGACTTCGTGAGATCTTGGAGAAGGCCTCCCATTTGCTCCCAAGACACACTCCATCTGCCTCCTTGGTGGTGCCAGGAGATACCTCAGTCCCACCCAAAGTCCTGCCCTGTCATTTGATAGAACTTTAAGTTGAAAGGTCTGTAGAATTCCTGCAGGCGTCGGACAACCTGCAGGTCGATTTTGGGGTGCGGCCGTCCTTTGGACTTCCCCAAACACCGGGGCCTGCTGCTCCCTTCCGGTTTCTTCAAGCAAGGGAAACCCTTGGTTTCATTGAAGTAGAAGTGCTTGTCCGTCACCACGCGTTTGAGACCCAGAAAGTCTTGTACGCGGCCCATTTCCCCGGCTGGGTCGCTCACCAATCTCTCTCCGCTCACGAAGAGAAGTTTGGATAGAGGGAAGTAACGCAGCCAATGGTCCAGATGTTTCACATACAGGCCAATCCTCACCGCGCTCCACGTGGTATCAATGAGGCCCGTGCTCAGATTCTTGAAGGCCAGGTTTTGGAAGCTGGGGATGGTGGGGTTCTTGGAAAGAGTCTGTGTGTAATCCGAAATGGCCCGGGTCACGGGGTTACGAACCACCACAATCAACTTGGTGTCTCTGGACATATTGTAAATGCGCCGCGGGGCTTCCTTGGTCACAAAATAACTTGGCGTTTTCTCCATGGTGATCTGTCCTTCCAAGGTCCTTGGCATCAGGTTTCTGTAGGAATAAAAAGCCATACAGATTCCTTCAAATAAACACCTTCTATTTGTTTTTCAGAACACGACAACTGCAGGAGCATTGAATTGAACGCCTGAAATGCACTACCTGACTCTGTGGTTTCTTCCCCAAATCCCCAAAACTTTAAGCTTAGACTGTCTACTGTAGACCTCACCCCATTCCTAAGAGGTCTGGTAAGGGGCATGCATAAGCGCACCAGCGTGCCTTCCGTCCCTGTCCTAATGTTTTCTTTTATTCGTATCCTTTTCATGTATTTATAATTATGTTTACACTTGTATCTGTCATGAAATACATGCTTGATGAAATAAATAAATAAAAAATGAAAATGAATTTTATAGGAAAACTAAGTGCACCTCTGGGACTGGAAGGTCCAAAAAAATCCTTCCCATTTAAAGCACGTTTTTGGGGGCAAACTTTCAAAGACCTCTGGTATTGTTTCTAGTTGGAGTTTTCTTAAAAGCAACTTGGAATTTTAAACCTTGCATTTCTTTCGTTCTTTCGTTCTTTCTTTCTTTCTTTTTTTTTTTGAGAAATCACATCAAAGCCTTGCTTAAAGTAGGGTCTCCTGCTTGGGCGGGGGGTTGGACTAGATGACCTACAAGATCCCTTCCAAAACTTTTAATCTGTAATCTTTAAATGATGCTAATTGATACTACCTAGGCAGGGTCCCTCCCATTCTAATTTTCCATCAGAAATGTTGAACAAAATATGCACTTAGTGGAAGTTTTTTTAAAAACAGGAAATACAAAAAAACAGAAAATTTGTAATAATTGCTGATAGGATAGGATAGGATAGGATAGGATAGGATAGGATAGAATAGAATAGAATAGAATAGAATAGAATAGAATAGAATAGAATAGAATAGAATAGAATAGAATAGAATGCTTTATATGTGATTGGACACACAAGGAATGTGTCTTTGGTGCGTATGCTCCAGTGGTGGGTTGCCCCCAATTCGGACCGGTTCTATAGAACCGGTAGTAAAACCGGCGGGAGGCTCCGCCCACCGACCCCGACATCATCAGGAAGCTTCTGCGCATGCGTACGCGGCCCTGTTGCGAACCGGTAGTAAAGGTAAGTAGAACCCACCCCTGATATGCTCTCAGTGTACATAAAAGATATAAGTGATAAATCATGATCATAGTTATCATAAAAATACATTCATCACAAATCATAAGATACAACACTTAATGATAGTCACAGGATACTAAATAAGCAATCAACATAAATCATACTAGGAAACTAAACAAAACTATATAAGTTGTAAAGATACAAGCTACAAAGTTATAGTCATAAGTAGAAAAGGAGATAGGTAATAGGAAAGCTGAGAAGATTAATAGTAATGCAGATTTAGTAACTAGTTTGACAGTGTTGAGGGAATGATTTGTTTAGCAGAGTAATGGCATTTGGGAAAAAACTGTTCTTGTGTCTAATTGTTCTGGTGTGCAGTGCTCTATAGCATCGTTTTGAGGGTAAGAGTTGAAACAGTTTATGTCCAGGATGCGAGGGGTATTTTCACAGCCCTCTTTTTGACTTGTCCAGTATACAGGTCCTCAATGGAAGGCAGGTTGTTAGCCATTGTTACCAACCATTGTTTGTTGTAGCAAAAATCAAAAATAGTTTGATTTTATTGTCTATTTTTCTAAGGACATAGAACAATGGTACAAACAAAAAGAACAAATTTAAGCTTTGTTGTTAAGGTTTATTATGGCCAAATACTGGATATTAAAGTCCAGTGGACTTTATCTAGATCAATGGTATTTAAAAACTTAGAAAGAGGATGTAGAAATGTATTTAAAAATGTAGAAACAGAAAATTGAGCCCAGCAGCAAAGAGCCTTGAAGAATCTTTTAATTAAGCATGGCTTTATTCGCATTTGGTTTGTATTTTAAACACTTCAGCCAAGTAATTATTAAAAGATTTCTTCCTTTAAAAGTATATGTACATTTCTGTGCTGAGAGTGTCATGACAGCAGTCTTCCGATATCTCAGAGGCTGCCACAAAGATGAGGGGGCCAACCTATTTTCCAAAGCACTTAGAGGCAGGACAAGAAGCAATGGATGGAAATTAATTTTAGCGGATTGAAAAGCTCATGAGATTAGGGTGAAATCCAGCAGGTTCTGACAGGTTCTGGAGAACCAGCAGTGGAAATTTTGAGTAGTTTGGAGAACCGGCAAGTACCACCTCTGGTTGGTCCCAGAGTGGGAAGGGAATGGAGATTTTGCAGTATCCTTCCCCTGCCACACCACCAAGCTACACCCACAGAACCGGTAGTAAAAAAAAAATGAATCCCACTATTGGAGGGAACATCTATCATTGGTCTCAGGCATAGCAGAGTTGTTCCAGGATGGAACAGGATACTGGGCAGATTGAGCGCAGCCATATGTTTACTGGACTTGTGTCCCTCCTGGTTGGTGCTGGCCTCTCGGGAGGTTACACGAGGCTGGCTCCAGGGGATTATAAATGCTTCTTTGAGTGAGGGTGTCTTCCCTGCCGCCTTGAAAGAGGCGGTGGTGAGGCCTCTCCTCAAGAAGCCTTCCCTGGACCCGGCAGTGTTGGCAAATTATCGTCCAGTCTCCAACCTTCGCTTCGTTGCGAAGGTTGTTGAGAGTGTGGTAGCGCGACAGCTCTCCCAGTACCTGGATGAATCGTCGTATCTGGATCCGTTCCAGTCGGGATTCAGGCCTGGGTACAGCACGGAAACGGCATTGGTCGCGTTGGTTGATGATCTCTGGAGGGCTCGGGACAGGGGTTGTTCCTCTGTCCTGGTCCTATTAGACCTCTCAGCGGCTTTTGATACCATCGACCATGGTATCATGCTGAACCGGCTAGAGGAGTTAGGGGTGGGGGGCACTGTCCTACGGTGGTTCTCCTCCTTTCTCTCTGACTGGTCGCAGTCCGTGTTGACAGGGGGGCAGAGGTCGACCCCGAGGCCCCTTGTATGTGGGGTGCCACAAGGGTCGGTCCTCTTGCCCCTTCTGTTCAACATTTATGTGAAGCCGCTGGGTGAGATCATCCGTGGTTTCGGGGTGAAGTACCATCAGTACGCTGATGATACTCAGCTGTACATCTCCACCCCGGATCACCCCAATGATGCCCTTGAAGTGATGTCCCGGTGCCTGGAGGCCGTGTGGATCTGGATGGGGAGAAACAGACTCAGGCTCAACCCATCCAAGACCGAGTGGCTGTGGTTTCCAACATCCCGAATATAGTCAGTTGGTGCCATCACTGACTATTGGGGCCAAGTCATTGGCCCCCACGGAGAGGGTTCGCAACTTGGGTGTCCTCCTGGACTCACGGCTGTCTTTAGAAGAGCACATGACGGCCGTGGCCAGGGGGACTTTTTATTAGGTCTGCCTGATTTGCCAGTTGCGTCCCTTTCTGGATCGGGACTCGTTAAATACGGTCACTCATGCTCTCGTCACTTCCCGCTTGGACTACTGCAATGCTCTCTACATGGGGCTCCCCTTGAGGAGCACCCGGAGGCTCCAGCTGGTCCAGAATGCGGCCGCGCGGGTGGTTATAGGAGCGACGTGGCGCTCCCATGTGACCCCCCTCCTGCGTGAGCTGCACTGGCCCCCGGTGGTCTTCCGGGTGCGCTTCAAGGTTTTGGTTACCACCTTTAGAGCGCTCCATGGCATCGGACCGGGGTATTTACGAGACCGCCTTCTGGTACCAATAGCCTCTCACCGACCAGTACACTCCCATAGAGAGGGGTTCCTCAGGGTGCCGTCGGCCAAACAGTGTCGACTGGCGGCGCCCAGGGGGAGAGCCTTCTCTGTGGGGGCACCTACCATCTGGAACGAGCTCCCCCCAGAGATACGGAGGATCCCGGACCTGCGCACGTTTCGCCGTGCTCTCAAAACTTTTCTATTTTAGCAGGCTGGCCTGGCCTAACTCTCCTCTTTTAAATATTTAATTCGTGATTTTATAAATTGGGTGTTTTAATCTATGTTTCGGCCAAAATATTTAATAATTTTAAGGGATTTTTTAATATTTGTATTATCTGTATTTTATCTTGGCTGTTCTCCCTGAGTCCTTCGGGAGTAGGGCGGTATAGAAATTTGATTAATAATAATAATAATAATAATAATAATAATAATAATAATAATAATAATAATAATAATAATAATAATAATAAATAGATAGTTGCCCACAGAAGCTAGGAACCACAGAATCAGAATAACAGAATAATAGGAGACATTATACCAGTGGTGAAATCTGAACCAGTTTGCTACCGGTTTGCTGGCTGCGCGTGCGCGCAGCGCGCAAAAAGACGGCTTGGGAAGTTAGGTAGAAGCGAAGGGGGGGGATCAGCTGCAGCATGGGGTTTAGCTTTGCTAGAAAGCAGGAAATCCTACTTTCTAGCAAAGCTAAACCACGCTGCACAGATGATCCTCCCACCTCCGCTGTTTTACTTACCTTCCCAAGCCTCCTTTTGGTGCGTATTGCGGATGCATGCGCAGTACGCACCAAAAGGAGGCTTGGGAAGGTAAGTAGAAGCGAGGATGGGGGATCAGCTGTTGCGCGTGATTTAGCTTTGCTAGAAAGCAGGAAATTCTGCTTTCTAGCAAAGCTAAACCCTGTACCACAGCTGATCGTCGGAAATACCAGTTTGGAGGAATCGGCAGCTTTTATAGCTACCGGTTCGCCCAAAGCTGAGCGAACCGGTAGCATTTCACCCCTGTCTTATACCCTAACCTTTTACTCACCGAGTGCCGAACAGGTACGTGCTTCGCATACGTGCGTGCCATCTGCGCTAACACATGGCTACTCTCCATGCACTGTGTGCGCAACTGCACCAACTGCGCATGCACACAGCTTTCGTGTGCGCCCCCACCGTGCGCTGCGCACGCAATTGCACCATCTGCGCATGTGCGGTTTTGTGTGGCTCCCCCGTGCGCTGCACCAGCTGCGCACCAGTATTCTCGCGCACATGCAGAGAGCTCTGATGACCAGCTGGGTCCCCTGAATTGTGT